AACACCCCACGAACACTGCACACAGCTAATGCACAAGTCCACGTGACCCACAGTTAACACAACACAGCAAAAATGCACACAGCACAGACGTGACACACAGCTGATACACAGCAGCCGAGCAGACAGCGGGGACTCCTGTGACCTGCTATGCGCTCTGAGTGGGCTCACCTCTTTGGACAGCTGTGCACAGAATCCATCGACCTGCAAAACACAGCGAGACACATCATCGTCCAACTCCTCACAGTTCACTCTCTCCCCTCTCCAGTCCCTCTCTCCTCTCCAATCCCTCTCTCCTCTCTCCTCTCCAATCCCTCTCCTCTCTCCTCAGTCTCTCCCCTCTCCAATCCCTCCCCTCTCTCCTCAGTCTCTCCCCTCTCTTCTCTCTAATCCCTCTCCAGAGGGTCTCCAGACCCCTCACAAACCCTCTCCCTCCTTCTCTCCACTCTCCCTCCTCCTCTCCACCCCTCTCTCCTCTCCAGACCCCTCACAACCCCTCTCTCCTCCTCTCCAGACCCCTCACAACCCCCCTCTCTCCTCTCCAGACCCCTCACATCCCCTCTCTCATCTCTCTCTCCTCCTCCCCACCCCTCTCTCCTCTCCAGACCCCTCACAACCCCCTCCTCCTCCTCTCCACCCCTCTCTCCTCTCCAGACCCCTCACAACCCCCTCCTCCTCTCTCCCAGTCTAGGAGTCAGTGTTTTGACAGGTGTAGCTCAGGAGGTGCAGACACAGAGAGTCGGATTACACTCGCACACTCCGAGATCTGTCTGTCTCTCTCTTTCCTAGACTACTGCCCCCTCATCTCTCAATAATAATAATAATAATAATAATAATAATAATAATAATAATAACAACAACAACAATAACCTGTTTCTTCGTCTCTGGCTTCATTTCCAGCGGATTCATCGCGGTGCGGTACTTGAGTAAGGTCTCGTCCGGGCTTTGCTGCTGGAAACACCGATTACTGTCACGACTATCGCTATTATCACGACAGCAAGTTCACCTGCGTTACAATTGGCTATCGTGCAATTTACCGTGCGATTATACCCCCTTCGAAGGTGAATGTTATCTGAAGATGTGCGCTGCTGCAGGCCTCGACAGACACGGTTAGTCAGCACTGTCGAAGTGAAACCGAAAGTTATGGAGAAACCCGAACATACGAACTAACAGAACAAAAAACTCAACTTCACTCATGGGGATTTCCGACTTCGACTCTGAGCATCGCCCTCTTTGCGCAAGGCACGAAGGGACTTGTAGTCTTCTAGCCCCGGCCGTCCCGGTTGACTGAAGCGTCGAAAGCGGCGCAAAGGAACTACAACTCCCATGCCTAGCTTCGTCCGTATCTTTAACTTTCTAAATCATGTGCATATTATACAGGTATTTATTTCTTCAGTAATAGTCTTTTGTGATCTTATGCCAACCCGCATTGATTTAGGAGCAATATTTATTTATAAGAGGCTGAATCATCACTTTTCGTGTTACGTGCGGGGGGGAGATTCTCTGAACTCGCTCCGGTACCCGAGAGCGTCTCGGCGGCTCGCTGCTGTCGTGACGTCACGGCGACTGGGGCACCCTGTGACGTCCCTGTCCCCACAAGCTCCGACGCTTATTGTACTGTTGAATAGAAAACTTGGAAAAAGAGCATTTATTTAAAGTAAATGTATTAGTCATTCATGGTAAATGTCACATTCATAAATCAAAATGGTCTAATAGTACTCCCCTTTTTAGTGCTTTTGAAGTGGAGCTGAAACACTTTTTAAATTCTATAATAAATTTGAGAAATAATGAAGCAAGGAAAACACATGATATATATAAAAATACAATTTGATCACATCATTTACTTCACTACCTCTGGCGGTTAAATGTTTTTTTTTTCTGTTTGTGTTTTTTTCTCTCGTACCTGTCTGTTTCGGATCCTATGGTTGTAGTTGTATTTGTAAATTCTTTATATGTTTAATAAAAAACAAATAAAAAAGGCTCCGATGCTACTCCCCGCTTCTAAC